GGATTTTTAGCATTATAGGGTGGTTGTGTACACACACTGCCAATGCACATTTATGTCCAAACAACATGTGAAAGTGAATTTTGCATAATAGGTGCCCTTTAAAGCTGAAATAAAATCAATAAAAGCTATATAAAAATAAAAAAATACTTTAAAATTAAAATGGAAAAGTTAAAAACTAATTCAAAATTTGAATACAAACTATAATAGCACCTTCATGATACTAAAATAATAATAATAATAATTTATTTGCTGGTGTTTCTGTGTGCAGGGAACAGACTTTGCCCACCATTCAGATCCAGCTACAACGAGACACGACTGATTACGGCGGCCCCGTCGATCTCCCTCCGGGGAACAGCACCAAATCTTCCGGCGGCCTCCCCAAAACCATCTCCAAACTCACCTCACGCTTCACCAAGAAAACCTCGTCCAACTCCAGCGCAGGCGGCAGCTACTCCATCCCCAGCACCCCGTCACGGAGCAGCGGTAGCTCGGACGACAAAGCCAGCCGCCTGCACAGCCTCCTGCAGATGAGCAGCATGCCGTGCACACCTGACCCCAGCCACGCGCAGATCACCAACGGCGCATCCGCAGACGAGCAGGGCATGAACCTGCCCACCGACCAGGAGATGCAAGACGTCATCGACTTCCTATCGGGGTTCAACATGGGGAAATCCCAGCAGGCGTCTCCGCTGGTGAAGAGGAGGAACTCTGTGGCGTCTACGAATGCGGCCGACTTGAAGCCGCCCAGCGGCGCGGCTCCGCCCCCCTCGCTGTCTCAAGTGTCTCAAGTGTTGGCGCAAACCTTGCTGCAACCAACACAGCAACAACAGCAGCTTCCTTCAACGCCAAAACAGCAGCAAACGCAGCCGCAGTCCCAGCCAACCTCGCAGACTCTGCCGTTCTACCAGCATCTCTTGCAGCCGATCGGTCAGCCGCAGCAAACGGCACCGGTTTCCCCGCAGCTCTCTTCACAGCAGCCCCCGCAGCCGAGAGCTCCCAGCAAGTGGCCCCAGGGGCCTTTAGGGGGTCTCTCGCCCATCGGGCCCTTGACGCAGTGGCCCGCCCCGGGCCTGCCGGACCTCAGCTCTGACCTCTACAGTCTGGGGCTGGTCAGTACGTACATGGACAGCATGATGTCTGAGATGCTCGGCCACAAGCCCCCACAGGGACCACGGAACAACACCTGGCCCAACCGAGACCAAAGTGACCAGAGTCTGTTCGGGGTGTTGGGAGACTCCATGCCTTTTGACCCTGCAGGTGAGCAGAGAGCAGTCAGCTCAGACAGGTTCAGAGAGCAAAACTTATGAGAACAAAACTTTGCCGAAGGGAAGAGAATGACTATTCTGAACATTTTACTTTAGCTATATATATATATATATAATATTATATATTATATTTTTGTACTTTAGTGATTTTTTTTTTTTTTACTTTTTTAAAATTTATTTTTATTTCAGTTTTAGTAATTTTCATACTTAACCAATTTATTTTAGTTGCAAAATTTCAAATTTTTTTACGTTTTACATCTAATATGCATATTTTAGAATTTAGCTTTATTTCAAGTTTAAAGTGTGTGTATTTTATGTGTGTCTATATATATATATATACTGTGGTTTATACATTTAAAGCGGACATTTTTTTATATCTTTTTAAAATTTATTTTTATTTCAGTTTTAGTAATTTTCATACTTAACCAATTTATTTTAGTTGCAAAATTTCAAATTTTTTTACGTTTTACATCTAATATGCATATTTTAGAATTTAGCTTTATTTCAAGTTTAAAGTGTGTGTATTTTATGTGTGTCTATATATATATATATATACTGGTTTATACATTTAAAGCGGACATTTTTTAATATCATCATGACATACTTATTTTATTGTACTGCTACTGCTGTACTAATTTTACTGGATTTTTATGCATACATGCTTTTTGAGCTAATATTGCCCACGACCCTTTGTTCTGGTGAGGATTGAAAGACTGAAGCCGAGATGTGTTCATGTCTCCATCTGCATCTGATTAATTGCATGACTTTTATTGCAATATTTTCTTTATAATTAATTGCTCTGAAAGAATACATCAAAATGACAGTGTAATTTTAATTTAATGAATTTAGTTAGATGCTAACACTTGAATGCACATAATAAGAGGGGTTGTCACATCACAACACAATTGTGTTACTTATTCAAAAGTGTTTTCTCATTACGCATTGTTAAAAATGCCATGGTTTTTATACTGTGTGTGTATGTAGTGGTTCCTGTGATGCAGCAGGTCACTTTAGTGCATTAGTGGTGCATGTGTGTGTTGGACTCTATTATGTGTTTCTGCTGTGCTGGACAGTTTAAACAAAGAGCAGGACAAAGCGACACACATCACTCTCTCTCTCTATCTCCGTCTCTCCGTCAGTGGGCTCGGATCCAGAGTTTGCGCGTTATGTTGCCGGGGTCAATCAGGCCATGCAGCAGAAACGACAGGCGCAGCATGTTCGTCGGCCCAGCAACACCCGCAGTAACTGGCCACACCCAGACGAGCAGCACAGGGGCTGGACACACCCAGAGTACTACAGCGAGGGGTGAGACGGTCTGACCAATCACAGCACAGCATCTCATCATGTATTGTTTCAGTGTCCAGTTTCCATCTTCTTAGTAAAGTGCAATAGAGTTACGCTTGAAGTGCAACTTGACGTGAAAATTGTAAGCTTCTATATCTCTGATTTCTGATGCATTTCATTTTTAAGTACATAGAATAGTCTGAAATTTGCATGCTAAAATCCATTTATCAATCATTCAGTGAGACAGATGTGTAAATCACAGTAATGATCCTCTGTTGACAATCGTGCACCTGCATAACAGACACTAGTATTGCACAACATTGTTTATCCTAGGGCTGCACGATAAATCAGAATTAAATCGAAATCATGACTAGACAGAGGCTGCGATTGTCATGCGTATCTTTCAGTGAAGCACGGTTCTGTGATCAGTAGTAAATCTCCATCCGAAGGCCAGAGGGCGCTCTCGCACGGAAAGTCCAAATACGCCCCCCAGAAGAAACCCAGGAAATCCCTATAGGGCTTGCTGAATAAACAGAAGATTTAAATGCTTTCATTGATTCAACGTGACTAGTCATGGGTTCGATTTCCAGGATGCAAGAACATAGGTTCGATTAGCATGTGATGCAAGGTCATGGGTTTGATTCCCAGGTCATGGGTTTTATTCCCAGGATGCAAGATCATGGGTTCGATTTCCAGGTCATGGGTTTGATTCCCAGGATGCAAGATCATGGGTTTGATTCCCAGGACATTCATTGCATCCAAGGATGTACCTTGGATGCAATAAAAGTTGCTTTAGATAAAATGCATGAATTTAAATGTAAATATATCTTGTGTTCTTTGTGTTACAGGACAGCAAAACGAAAACCTGGCCCCCTAAAGCCCCCTGGCAGCACTCCTCGCACACCAACACCATGCCCAATCCCAGCTCTTCCCTCTACCAGATGACCATCCCCTCCAGCCAATGGGGCGATTCCATGCAAATGCTGCAGTCTCCGGTGTGGTCGACGGCCAATGACTGCCCTCCATCCTCCGGGATCTCCTCCGGCTTCCCGTTCACACAACAACAACAGCAGCAGCAGCAGCAGGTTTCCCAGCACAAGATCCTGAGCAAAGGCTTCAAAACCTTCCCGCTCAAACCCGAGCATCGGCCCTCGTACCTGCACCAGTATTGAGCTGGACCCGTGCTGGTAGAGGTCGCTGACCCTTTTCGCATATTTTGAGTTTGAGTAATGCTCAGGATGTAAACCAGATTAGCATTTAAAGGCTTTGAGTTCAGAGCCCAAACAGGACGCCACTAAGAGACTTTATAAAGGGGTTTTGGTCGTGTCAGGGCAGCGGAAGGATGTTATTTTATTATCAAAAAACGGCACCGTAGAAACCTAGCTGGGATTGTTCATCTTGTGGTGTGCCGTGAACCTGGTCTAGACTCCAACTTTGTAAACTAGAAGTGTTTTTATAGGGAAATTTGCATTTAACATAGTAGTTAATAACATTTTTGTACACAGATGCGTGTCAAACGTCTCCAAACAGAACGTAACTGCCTTCCATGCTGTCCAAACGATGCATGATTCATGTTAACAGCAGCTAGTCGGACCATTTCGCTGGCGGAACGACTGAAGCCTTCAGTCTCGTGGCGGCGTTCGGCTTTGAGTTTACACGACTTTTTCGATATGCATGGCCACCGTGCTCACTCACAGCGCACTATCGCAGCCGCATTACGAAGATCCGGACGTCCCACATAACGATACTGTGTTTAAATAGCTGTAACTGCCAAATGTCACGTGGGACGACCCAGACTGCAGCTCTCAGCTACTGTTCCATAGCTTGTAAATGACTCGGAAAAAAGAAACGAAAAAGAACTATACATAATTTACTTTTATGAAGAGGCTTTGAGCAGGCTCGGCAGAAATATAATAATCATAGCAGAGGTGTAATTTGAAAGAAATACACTACTTTTTCAACATCTGAGAGATAAAAAAAAAAGATAAAAAATACAAATAAAAAAGGATGTTAGCAGTAACTTTGTGCCATGTTGTTTTGAATAGCACTTGCAGATATTTTCTCTAAAAAGAAATGATGTTGCCCTGACCGAAGACATGAGGGGCGACTGCTTGGCTTATGTTGCTTATTGTTCATTAGAGCTGGCAACTGATTATTTCCAAGTGTACCAGCAATGCAAAAAATAAATATATAACATAACATCTGCTATCATTTCATCTTTGACTCCTTTTGCATACATTTTTAGCGTTCGCATTTTCTCCTCGTTGTTGGGTTTGGTAATTCTAATTTTCATTACTGTATTGCAGATAAAATCTTGTAAAAAACATGGTGTAAATACTTTCTAATAACATATATGTAGATCCAGATGGAATCTCATTAGCATTTTCTGCAGAAAGAATTTAAACATTTTTATTAGAAACTAAAAGCATAATCAAATTAAGGCTAAATAATTAGTGACAAAAACAGAGATGTTCTGTGGATGTCTGCTGCTTATATAAAAGTGCATGTTTATTGTGGTTTATACATTTATTATACAAAGCATTGAACTAAAAACATGAAATTATGTACATAAAAATGTTCGCCAACAGGGACATCTGGAGTGTCTTTCCTCTCAGCCAATGCGATTCTGTGGTAAAAAAGAAAAGAAAAACTAAATGAAAAAAAAATTATATATATAAATTAGTATTGTAAATTGTGTGAGAACCCTATTGGAATTGCTCCGTTTCTTCTCCAAAGTGAATTGCATTTTTGAGGGCCTAAAGATGCTCCAAAACTCACGAAACTTTGCACACGCGTCAGAACTGGCGAAAATGTACATCTAATATGGGTTTCAGAAGTGGCTGTGGCAAAATGGCTCGATAGCGCCACCTGTACACATTCAACGGAGTGCTCCTCGAGCTACGTTTTACGTACATGTACGAAAACACATGTAACACACCATTACCTACAAAAAAAGTTTCTTGGTACAAAACCCAACAGGAAGTACGTTATTTTGAATTTCCTGTACGATTTTTGTGCAGTTTTTGCCATTTCCAGGCCTGGTACTTCGACGAACTCCTCCTACAATTTTAATTGGATCATCTTCAAATTTGGTGAGGGTCATCGTAAGGCCTTTGTGACGTTAAATTGTGAAGATCTTGAGTTTTCGTCAAGGGGCGTGTCCCTGGCGGCCTGACAAAGTTTGATGTTTCGCCATGAAACAGGAAGTTGCTGTAACTCAGGCAAGCAATGTCCGTCAGAACTGGCGAAAATGTACATCTAATATGGGTTTCAGAAGTGGCTGTGGCAAAATGGCTCGATAGCGCCACCTGTACACATTCAACGGAGTGCTCCTCGAGCTACGTTTTACGTACATGTACGAAAACACATGTAACACACCATTACCTACAAAAAAAGTTTCTTGGTACAAAACCCAACAGGAAGTACGTTATTTTGAATTTCCTGTACGATTTTTGTGCAGTTTTTGCCATTTCCAGGCCTGGTACTTCGACGAACTCCTCCTACAATTTTAATTGGATCATCTTCAAATTTGGTGAGGGTCATCGTAAGGCCTTTGTGACGTTAAATTGTGAAGATCTTGAGTTTTCGTCAAGGGGCGTGTCCCCAGCGGCCTGACAAAGTTTGATGTTTCGCCATGAAACAGGAAGTTGCTGTAACTCAGGCAAGCATATCTGATGTCTGATCTGCCCCAAAATTAACAAGTTTGATAAGAGTCCTGTCCTGAACACATCTACATGCCCATATTCGGTAATAGTCATAGCGCCACCTGCTGGCAACAGTAAGGGACATGTTTAACACCATAATGGACTTCTAGAAATATATTAAAAAGTCTCAGCAAGTGTTAAACAGGCTAGCAACATGCTACAAACATGGAAAAACATGCTAGCAACACTTAGCTAACTTGCTAAAGCATAATATTAATACTATGAAACAGGACGTTGCTATAACTCAGGTAACTCAGTGTCCAATCTGCCCGAAACTTAACATGTTTGATGAGAGTCTTGGCTTGAGGACATCTACATGCTCATATTTGGTTATAGTCATAGCACCACCTACTGCTAACAGGAAGTGACTTGTTTCACACTAACTTACACATGCAATGTCTGATCTGCTCTAAACATCACATGTTTGATAAGAGTCCTGGCCTGAAAACATTTGCATGCCAATATTCAGTTATAATCATAGCGCCACCTACTGGTAACAGGAAATGACTTGTTTTATATATATATATATCCACCAATTATGTAAGGTGCAACTCTTGGCACAGAAATGACTTTATTCTATATTCACTCATACGAATGTACATGAACATATTTATTATAACATGTTAACAGGGAATCTAACTGACTGTGTCGTCTGAGGTCTGCGTCTCCGGCTGGATCTCTGTGCCGGCATCAGCTATGGTTCCCAAATACACAATGTTGCGGTGCAGGATCTGCTGGTATCTGTGGAGATGATAAAGCACATACTTCAGTAAACACGCTAAAGCATCTGAAGAGAACACACACGCATGACACTCACGTACTGCACACACTCGGCGGCTCGGCCCTTCTGCAGATACTCGGTGATGCATCGCACCAGCTGATCGTTCTCATCCAGCAGCTGGAAACACAATGTCAGACAGTTAGTAGCCTAACTTTACTAAACATTTCAAACTATTAAAATACTCTGATTTGGTAGGTCAAGATTTTTTTGCATCAGAAACAGCAATGTCATGTAGTTCTTCATTACCATTTCAAAGCCTCGACTGTTTAGTCTGTTGCTTTAAAATATCCATATGTAAATGACCCGTCCAAACCTTTGTGTACTAGCTAAGGTTATTTGTCTATTATTAGATGAATACGTATTAATATGTGAATATGGTAGCTGAATCTTAATGAGCTCATGGTTTTAATGTCATAGTCATTACATTTAAAACGTGATTTAAACTTTTTGCAGAAAGATATCATTATGTAATATATTACGGAAACAACTATACTCTTGAACTTAATTTCTTGTTTTGCATTTACATTTTGTTTTTAATGTATACCGCGCTGTATGACGTCACGTAACTAGATGGGCCATACCGCTTATTTTGTTTTCGATATGATACCGATACTTTTAAAGGCCAGTATCGTCGATATCAATACGATACTTCTGAACTTTTAAATTATGAAATGTATTAAATTATTAAGAGTAAAATGGGTAATAATACCCACTTTATATTTGAAACACATTTTAACATTCAATACGGCTTAATTGCAACCAATTAGGCAATATTTTTGTTTACACAGGGTTAAAATGTTTACTGTAGTGGTAACCATGGAAATCTACAAATACTATAGTTAAACTGTGTTAAAACCATGGTTAATTTTCATAAGGGACCTGAAGAATTGTTGAATAAATTATGTTGTTATTGTTTTCTTTGCGCACAAAAAGTATTCTCGTAGCTTTGTAAAATTACGGTTGAACCCCTGATGTCACATGGACTATTTTACTGATGTCCTTTCTACGTTTCTGTGCGTTGGTCGTGCTAACATCATTGCTGTCTGTGGAAGATCAGAGCTCTCAGACTCCATCAAAAATATCTTCATTTGTGTTCCGAAGATGAAAGAAGGTCTTACGGGTTTGGAACGGCACGAGGGTGAGTAATTAATCACAGAATTTTCACTTTTGGATGAACTAACCCTTTAACATTCCATTTAATTAAATGTAATTGCACAAACTATGCATGCTACAATTTCAATTAGTTTATTGTGAAATAACTCAAAACATATGTATTTTCTGTATTGTTCTGGGCTGCCGTTCCTAAAAGCATCAATGCTTTCTTGTGATACTTTTGGGAAACGCAGCCCTGTTTGAATGCACTGTCAGGTGTGAGTGAACGCTCTCTCTGTGATCGATTGATTCGGTCTTGCAACATTTGCATGTGTTCAGATCATAGACTGTATAAAAACATGGACGTAGTGTCCGTGACGTCACCCGTAGGGTTCCGAAGATAGTCTTTGAAGCTCAAAAGTGGGCGGAGGCGGCCGTCGCCATCTTGGCAGCGCGTCACTCCCGGATAATCGAATTTTTTTGAACCAGGCTGTAAACGTTTTTTTCTGCTGTAAAGTTGGGCATTTTAACATGGGGAGTCTATGGGACTGACTCCCTTTTGCAGCCAGCCTCTAGCGGCCAGTCGATGAATTACAGTTTAAGTCACTTCCTTGTTGACTTCACGAGAGAAAGCGGGAGGTTGCCGCTCGGTTCAGATGAGCAGGAAAATAGTTCTTTCCCACACAAACATTCACTAACATAGGTTATCTCTCTCGTAAATAACCGAACGGTGTGTGTGTGTGACCGTATGAAGCAGTGAAATGTTCACTCACTCTTTGAATTGTCTCCTGGTTGATTTGCGCTTTTCCGCGCTGCCGTTTGGGAACAAAAACAACAGACATTTCACAGACTCGGAACTCAAAGCACCGACGCAGATGAGAAACCGCTTCAGAAATCCCGAACCCTGAGCAACAAATCGATGTACTTCAGCATTTTATTGCGTGATCAACTGTCTCCTCTCCATCAGATAGACTCGTTTCTTCTGCTGCTCGGAGGTTTTACTGACGCGACGCGACGCGTCTCATTACTGACGCCTGCAGGTCACTGACGCCTTTACTCTTCCTGAAAAAAAACAGAACATGAAACGTAGTACAAGTTCACAACTGTACGTAACGTAAGGTATTACACACACAGACGTCTCATTACTGACGCCTGCAGGTCACTGACGCCTTTACTCTTCCTGAAAAAAAAACAGAACATGAAACGTAGTACAAGTTCACAACTGTACGTAACGTAAGGTATTACACACACAGAGCTGTGTTTCTCAACCAGCAAAGCACAGTTTAGAACCTAATTTAAATATTTAAGTTTAAAAAAAAGAACAGAATAAAAATTATAAGATGTAAACTGACAACACATTTCTTAATCGCATCGTTTTTGAAACAGGAGATTTAATTTAAATATTTAAATCAAGTTATTAAATAGTGTAACAGAAGTAAAATGCTAAAATACCAGAATATTATGTTAATTCAAATTATTATTTATTATCAGAAACCGTTTTTGAAACTTCTGGAATCAAGAAATTCATTGCTGTTGATCACTTTAATTGATATATATTTTTTTATTTATTTAAAAAGCAGCTATAACATAACTGCAGTGATTTTAACCTACAGTCATAATGTTTTGAGTACAGAATAAAGAATTGTGAACGAATAGAATAACGTTTTAGCTTTCACGTTGCATTGACTTTTCTAATTTTTTTTAAGAACTAAGAATTTATTTTCTTAATATACTTTTTTATTCCCAACACAATTTTTAAAAATCCTATAAATTACATTTAAAACATCCGTTTATTGGCAACACTTACACTGCATTGGATAACATGAACAATTCTACAGCTTTAATAATCATTAAGCATTTTTGTTACTTTCAACATTTAGCAATACATTTTTAAAGTCAAAAGATGTATGTTCATTTTAATGCACCGTGAACTTTTTTTTTTAATACTATGAGGAAGTTATAAAAAAAAGACCAATAAATTAAATATTCTTAAATCTGAAAGCAAAATGAAAAATGTCAATTCCTTTTGTGAAAGATAAAATGCTAGTCTGTACTCAGTTAAAAAAATATAAATAACTGCTGTACACAATATATTAGTTAATGTTAGCTAATGGCTTCACTAATATTAATGGCACATAATTAATTGTTCTTTTTTGCATGTTTATTGACAAAAAAACAAGGACACACACAGAGAATACTGAACAACTATTTATTTCTCTTCTTGAATAAAAACCTCAGTTTGCCCCGTTTGAAGCCCTCTTAAGAGCACACCACGTACAACTGCTCCAATTCAGAAAACATAACAAAATCATAAAATTGCCAAATTCCTCCAGAGCTCTGACCACAAAGATCACATCGACACACTCTGCACGTCTGTCCAGTTTAACATCTCACACAAGACTTCATGGCGGCATCAGGCCTGAGGATTCACTTCACATCTCACTCCAGTCCAAATTCAGCTTCTCAGCACTCGCTCAGAGGCTTCCCATCACGCCCTGGTCTGAGTGATCGCTCAGACTGCGTTTCACTAGCTGCCTGCGTGTTGCAATTCGTAGTGCTTTTTAAAGGGAGCGGTTGAGCTAATAAAAGTAGAGTTGAAAACTATGAATAGACAAGACAAACTCTGAGGAAAAATAATGCCGAACCAGCTGAGAGAGAGAGAGAGAGAGAGCACTTCTCCTCCAAATGTTATCCGTAATTCAGTCTTTGGATCTTTGAAACACAAATTAAAAATATGAAGCACACCAAAAAAGAATGAACTCCCATCTAACAGTGCAGGAACTAGTGCTTCAGTGACGTTCAAAGGAGAGGCGGGATCAAACTTCACTCCAGTAACAGAGCAATAGACAGCCCGAACCAGCTGAGAGAGAGAGAGAGAGAGAGAGAGCACTTCTCCTCCAAATGTTATACGTAATTCAGTCTTTGGATCTTTGAAACACAAATTAAAAATATGAAGCACACCAAAAAAGAATGAACTCCCATCTAACAGTGCAGGAACTAGTGCTTCAGTGACGTTCAAAGGAGAGGCGGGATCAAACTTCACTCCAGTAACAGAGCAATAGACAGCTGGTACCTGAAACAACACGTTAACATACAAGCGGATCGAACAGGGAACAGAACTATTCACAATAGAGGGCTTCTTGGACTCGTTATGGACACTTAATTCAGGTGAAACTCGCCTCCCGTTTAGACTGAGCATCAAACGTGACGCCAAAAGTTTTTTTTAAGAGCTACACGATGCATTGGCCCTTTTGAATCTATACTGAAATACTGGAAATTGTAAAAAAACAAAAAATAAATAAAAAAAAAAACTCCTTCCACAATTCAACCAAGTCAATTTCTGGTATACGAGCATTATGAAATGACATCAAATTGAGCCTCCACATCATGTGACGTGCTACACAGGCGTCGTTCGTCTTTAAAGTGCACATGAACACAATTTCAACACATATAATCTGGTTCTTAAAGGGTTTCAGGATCTTTCCAGAAGATCAGTGATGGGGCTCGTCGTTTGGGGTTTGTGTCGAGTTTATATCAAAAAGCCCTCTTAGAAATTTACATAATTGACATCAAAAGGCAAGAACAACTGGCACTCAAATATCAAAATACATTTTGCAGAGAGAGGGCTTCAGGACAAAAACAAGAGTTGAATTCATCAATACATTCAATCATAAACCAGGGTGTTTTGTGACCTACTGCTAGACAGTGAAGCCGAGGCTTGACCAGATTATCCACAAAAACCGATATTTTGGGGCTGAAATAAACTAATGACAAGTACTAGTACAAACTATGTGAAACTATTAAATGAAGCGAAAGCACCTACGGATGAGCGCGAAACCAGCGGGCCGTCTGTTTAGTTTGGGTGGCAGAGCTCGGACTCAAACCCCCGCAGCCTCTAGAACGGGTTTTGGTGCTTCAAAAGATATTAGAGAACAGATCCAAAAAACATGGCATAATAAAGCTATTGACTGAGGAGCGCTCACAGTATCAGCAGGGTTCTGTACGCCTAAATACCTTCCTCTGTTTATTACGAAAGGAACTAAAGGTTGATGAAAAAATACCAAATAATAATAGTAATCATCATCATCATTCCACGGAAGTTTTACGGCATTTCGTGCACAAATTCTCCCGTCCGAACGCATCGAATGCAGATCAAACGGTTCCAAAAAACAGCAAATGTTTTTCTTTTCTTTTTCTAAAAAAGGAAAAAAGGAGAAATAAACTCAAAGCTGCGTGTCCAGCTGAAGGCAGGCGTCGCCTGCGCTGGTGTTAAACAGAGAGAGGCAGTTCCCGTTAGTCAGGAGTCAAAACCAAAGCGTTAATCTAGACGTGATGATCGGAGATTCTTGGCCGTTCGGACGATCTGGTCTTCAGGTTGGACTACGCCGCCACTTTATTCTCCTTCTGAAACAAACGTCAAACACAGACACAAAAGAAAAGATGAATATTAAAAAGGCATTTGAATTTAGAGACATTTCAATCATTTGACTCTTATTTTTTCATTGTTGTAGAAAGAGTTTAATTTGGGAGAAAGTTCAATATTCCAATATCAGACAAATAAGACAAAATGCCAAATCTCTAATCGTCTGATAACAATATAGTACCAACGCCAGTGTTATTTTAGTATTGTTTATGTACTCTTTTAGTAATTATCAATATTTTAATCAGCTTTTATTTTTGTTTTCATTTTTAGCAATTTTATGAGGTTTTATATACATATTACATATATAAACATTCATTTTTTCAATATTTATATAGCTTTTAGTTTTAGTATTTAGAAATGTTGCCTTGGCAACTACCTTAAATAAACCAGTGCAAGTTTTCTCATCTAATCAATTTTATTTCAATTTCCAAAAATGATTTTTAATAGTTTTAGTAACAATAAAGTACAATACATTGCGCGTCCCTAATATTTGAGATGGACCCTTTTCAGTTTTCACAGATTGTGACGATGCGTTTCCACAGTTAGTAATATTAGAAAAGTA